GTGTCTTATCTGTGTATGCGCGTCATGTGCAGTGGGCTCTGAGGCGTGAGATTGTAAAGCACGCATTTTCTCCCTACCAGGAAAACGACAACTTGCCCTCGCGAATGTGTGAAATTTCCACCTATGCCTACTCACTCATGATGATATTCTCTCTACAAAAGAAAGGCTACCTACCCTGCCTCCAGACAGTAAGAGCTATTGAAATTGATCACAACCTTCTTCATTTTCCATCTATCCACACATCTATTCACCCACCCCACCCCCACCTGTCAATCTATCCATCCGTAGTAAATTGTTTTGATTTCACAATCTCTTTCTTGCTCTTGTAGGCCTATGCTGGCGATACAAAGCCGATCATTCGCTAACACGATGAATGCAACGTTTGGTTTCAGACTGACAGGGATGTTGTTGTAAGTCATCATTCCTCCTAATAAAGCTTTCCAAACGCTTCTCATAGGCATTCCACCACCACCACCACCACTAACATCACTACCTCGTATTTACTTTCTTACTTTCTCACTCACTTGCTCACTTACCTGCTTACTTGCTTACTTAGAAAAGCCCCCCACTGAGAGGAAAACAGTGCCACACCTATGGCTGGGATTCATCCATTTCTACCACTTCGAGTTCGATTCCCTCAAACACACTGTCGCCATTGATTCGTTTAACGTCGTGGAGAACACTAGACTCCCCGCAGTCATAATTATAATGGGTAAGGATTGGGGTGAAATGGGCAAATAATTTGTAGCTGGGTATTTTCTCATTTCAAATCTTGCCTTGTGACCCATTCGATACTTCTCACATGTTGACGCTTTTCAACAAAATCTGGGTGACCGGTCTCGCACCTAGCCAATGGAAAGTTGACATAGTAATACCAGTACTAAAAAAGAGCAAGGACCCTAGCAACTTTGACAACTATAGGCCTATCGCCCTCAGTATGGTAAGATAGGTTAATAGGTGGCTGACCTGATTTTTGAGACCAACAATATTATTAGGACTGAACAAACAGGTTTTAGTCCAGAAAGATCAACTAACCAACAAGTAGCCACTTTCTCCCAACACATCAAAGATGCCCTTGATGCAAGAAATACACTTACGGCTGTTTTCGTCGATTTCAAATCAGCATAAGACTTAGTATGGAAAGAGAAGCTAATTCTAAAATTAGCAAAGATTGGTATTAAGCATAGCATGCTAAACTGGATAAAAGCAATCATGGACAAAGGTCATTAAACACCACTTACAAGGTGTTTATTCAGCCAATAATATGGTATTGCAGCTTGACAGCTTCATTAAATTTTTTAAGAGTAATTTAAATAAATTGAAGCATAATTGACTTGGTTGACAAAGTAAATTTGAACAACAGTGATATAAAATGAATGATTTAAATGGAATAATTGGGGAAGCATTCTTTTCCAATCTATTTTAAATATATATTTATTTATCAATTCATTGATTAATCTATTCCCATTATTTGCTCAGTCTCGTAAATAAATCCATTCTATTTAATTGTTTAAGTAGCATCTTTGCTCCCTCCTCTTGGCACCTTTCTTCCTCTTAAAATTTATCTAAAACAACAATGATTGTCACGCATTTCACTATATCTATTAAGAATATAAAAAACTAATTTTTGCTTTCTACGATGAGACAAATTCATAATTTATTCCCATATTATTAGTTTGTCTCACTTATTGCAGTAAAATTATTGAAAATTAATAATTTGCAAAAATGATATATTCACATTAGGTTTCAAAAAACAGAAAATGTCAGATTCGTTATGTGCATTCCGCCACACACACACACACATATATATATATCACGGCAATAGATTTAGAGAACAGCAGCGACATTGAGGAAACAAACGATGAAGTTATTATAGATAATAATTTCGGCTACTGTGTTTTGGAGTTTTTCACGGTCTTTCCAGCAATTTCTTCGTTTGTTTCGTGTATTACATGAAACAGCGAGATCAGATTTTCATGAACGGCTCAACGCGAACTCGGGTTCACAATTGCTTTACAATGCAGTTGCAATAGCCTACGCTGCATTCCATCATGTCCATTTGTTGACAAATCCTTCAACGTTTATCATCAGAAGAGTTATTGCCATGATGTTTGGGTTCAGAAACTCAAAATCGTAATGAGTCTCTAAACTCGCTGATATGGTCTTTCGCTCCAAAGCATATCCATTTCGGGTCTCAGATCATTGAAATTGCAAATTTTATTGCTGTGTGTATTTTTAATGAATGCCTTATACCGATAACGGTTTTTTTTGAAATTTGATCCCCACGTTTACTCAGATTCAGCGAACTGATTTACTTGAAATTTTAAGAGAGTGTTTTTACGGACTTGTCTTTGTCCGGAACTACGGACATCTCCAGATTTTTNACAAGTAGCCACTTTCTCCCAACACATCAAAGATGCCCTTGATGCAAGAAATACACTTACGGCTGTTTTCGTCGATTTCAAATCAGCATAAGACTTAGTATGGAAAGAGAAGCTAATTCTAAAATTAGCAAAGATTGGTATTAAGCATAGCATGCTAAACTGGATAAAAGCAATCATGGACAAAGGTCATTAAACACCACTTACAAGGTGTTTATTCAGCCAATAATATGGTATTGCAGCTTGACAGCTTCATTAAATTTTTTAAGAGTAATTTAAATAAATTGAAGCATAATTGACTTGGTTGACAAAGTAAATTTGAACAACAGTGATATAAAATGAATGATTTAAATGGAATAATTGGGGAAGCATTCTTTTCCAATCTATTTTAAATATATATTTATTTATCAATTCATTGATTAATCTATTCCCATTATTTGCTCAGTCTCGTAAATAAATCCATTCTATTTAATTGTTTAAGTAGCATCTTTGCTCCCTCCTCTTGGCACCTTTCTTCCTCTTAAAATTTATCTAAAACAACAATGATTGTCACGCATTTCACTATATCTATTAAGAATATAAAAAACTAATTTTTGCTTNACAATTGCTTTACAATGCAGTTGCAATAGCCTACGCTGCATTCCATCATGTCCATTTGTTGACAAATCCTTCAACGTTTATCATCAGAAGAGTTATTGCCATGATGTTTGGGTTCAGAAACTCAAAATCGTAATGAGTCTCTAAACTCGCTGATATGGTCTTTCGCTCCAAAGCATATCCATTTCGGGTCTCAGATCATTGAAATTGCAAATTTTATTGCTGTGTGTATTTTTAATGAATGCCTTATACCGATAACGGTTTTTTTTGAAATTTGATCCCCACGTTTACTCAGATTCAGCGAACTGATTTACTTGAAATTTTAAGAGAGTGTTTTTACGGACTTGTCTTTGTCCGGAACTACGGACATNAGAAAATGTCAGATTCGTTATGTGCATTCCGCCACACACACACACACATATATATATATCACGGCAATAGATTTAGAGAACAGCAGCGACATTGAGGAAACAAACGATGAAGTTATTATAGATAATAATTTCGGCTACTGTGTTTTGGAGTTTTTCACGGTCTTTCCAGCAATTTCTTCGTTTGTTTCGTGTATTACATGAAACAGCGAGATCAGATTTTCATGAACGGCTCAACGCGAACTCGGGTTCACAATTGCTTTACAATGCAGTTGCAATAGCCTACGCTGCATTCCATCATGTCCATTTGTTGACAAATCCTTCAACGTTTATCATCAGAAGAGTTATTGCCATGATGTTTGGGTTCAGAAACTCAAAATCGTAATGAGTCTCTAAACTCGCTGATATGGTCTTTCGCTCCAAAGCATATCCATTTCGGGTCTCAGATCATTGAAATTGCAAATTTTATTGCTGTGTGTATTTTTAATGAATGCCTTATACCGATAACGGTTTTTTTTGAAATTTGATCCCCACGTTTACTCAGATTCAGCGAACTGATTTACTTGAAATTTTAAGAGAGTGTTTTTACGGACTTGTCTTTGTCCGGAACTACGGACATCTCCAGATTTTTTTTATACTATTTTTGAAAAAATCGAAGAATGTAAAAAAGTGGTACAACTATTTTTTTCTTTAGACAGTAGCCATTTAGAAAAAAATAGTTCTGCAACTTTGTCGTAGTTCCAGACATATCGAAATAATCATAGATTGATAATCTTTTTTTATTTTATTTATTTCAGATTGCTAGGAAAGTTAAAATCGTGGGTATGTTCAAGCAAAATTTTTTTAAGACGTCCCATTCCATCAGCTGATAACTAAAGAAGATTAACATTTTTACATTTTTTATTTTTTTGTATGCTTCTAATGTGATTAAACGATGTAAAAGAAGTATAATAAAAATATTGCTTATTTTTTAAAGCACTTCAAAAAGGACTTAAAATTCGTGTCACTAGACAAGAATACCCCCTTAAGAGTGTGAAATCGTTAGAATAAATGAACTATTACATCATGGTTACTATATTTAAACAAATTAGCTTTTAAATAATCCTATTTTGGTTTTAATTTCTTTACTAGATTTATTGAAATAAGTGGCAATTATTTTTGTGCTGGCAAAATTTAAGTAAGAGGAAGGTAGAAATTTTGCTTTCAACAAGTACATTCATAGACACTTAAATTAAATAAATTAAATAACATTAATAATTAATTAATTAAATTAATAATCGACTCATCATTCTTCCAAATCAAACATGTTGAAGCAAAGAGGCCAAATACCCACTTAAAAGGATTCGATTATTTGGCGAGATTGGGCAAAGCGTTTGCAAAGATGAATTTATGAAAATTATAAATAAATAATAAACTAATATTCCACAAATGCCACCGCAATAAGGTAAAAACAAAATAATGCAATTCAATGTGATTCAATCAAGTAACGCAATCTTGTTAAATAGAGAAAGACATAGAACTGAAGAGAGCATTACAAATCAAAGACAAACTAAATGGCTTACCTATACCTATTAACCCATTAGCAGACTTTGATGTTGAGAGTTGCAACCAACTGTTTGACCACTTCAAAAAACCAAACAACTCTCCAGAACAAATGCGCTCCCTGGCTCTTGAGACAATCAATGTCAACAATCCTGCAGATCAATGGCTCGAGGTGTTCACTGATGGATCATATATGGAAAACCAAGTAAACCTTAAACGTAAGCAAAGTGCTACCCAAAACAGCTAAGATATCGTAAAGTAAAAACTTTATACGTAGATAAAGGAAAAACAAAACAGTAGTCCTACAATGGATTCCCGGTTATTGAGGCATAAGAAGCAATGAGCTTGCTGACTCACTTGCTAAGAAAGGGACAACAATTTTTCAAGGCATAAACCGGTCGATGTTTTCCACACAATGAAGACCCTAATCAGGAGAGAATTCAAGACCTCAATGTGCAACAAAACTAAAGCTTGAACAAAGGAGAAAGAGTAGCTAGTGGCACTCTCTGGCATAACCAACTGGCTAAGAATTGAAGCCGTTGCTGAGTTAAGACACGATTGCTTGTCACAGCACCTTCATAGATTAGGAGAAAACGCTCAATTAACATGCCCCCTATGTAACCTTACAAGGGAAAATTTTAGAAGACCAATCAGTTTCGATGTCCAAGTATAAAGAAAATGACGAAACACAGAGATACTGGGAAAACAGAAGTCAGCTAATGAACGGCTATATATGTACCTTCTTACCCATGGGAAAGCTGAAATCAACTAAGGGGCTAATGATAAATGTCATAAAGCCTGAAATTTGAAATAATAATAATATTTTTCGTTCCATTATTATGCTTTGAAATTTTTTATGTCGTTACAAAACCGGACCAATTTAAGAAGGGTATTCTGAAGCATATACGAAATGCACTTTCACTACTTATTCATTTAAGTATAATTGAAAATCAAAAAATTTAAAATATACCCAATCCCCTCTTTTTTCATTCAAATGACTAAATTTTGAAGCGATGCTTGGGTATTGGTAAATCCATTAAACTATTAAAATAAGCTTACTATTTTGACTAATATTGACTAGCTCAAATGGCACATTATACTTCAAGTCAGGATTTTGGGAGCATAATTTTTCAGTGGCTTCGGTATTAAGTTGATTTGTTTCAGTATCAGGATGGCAGCCTTGGAATTAATCGGCTGCCGAATAGTCACCCAATAAAGTGTTTTCACTCAAAGGCATTATGTGGATTTAGGAAGGTTTCGCTTGAAGCTGTTTGTACGTGATTTACATTTCAATGACTTTATGAAATAGGTTTCGATGGTGTTAGAGAATTCCAACTTCTTATTTCAAAGGCATTTTCTTGAATAATCAATTATTCCATTTGACATGACTCATTAAGTTCAAGATAGAAAATAATCCTCAGCGCACAAATAAGATCTTTAGATTAGTGTTTAGATGGGCTCAAATTAAGTTGGATCGACGTAGGTTGAAGGTTAGGAATTTCATCTGGATTGGGCATTACATGATTATTGGAATTTAATTCACTAGTGGGGGGGGGGCTGTACAATAGATCTCATTTTTTTTCTTCAGAAACGCAAACCGTTCTGTCTGGAGCGCATTTGCTTTTATCTTCTTCCTTTTCAATTATACATGGAGAATCTGAATTTACCTTGTTAGGAATGTCATCAGAAGTTTCCAAGAATTGAGGTTCAATACTCTGTAATTGTAATCAATATTGAAATTCAAGCTTAATTAACAGAGAATACTTATAATTACAATCATAATGTTGAAATGTATTTGGATCTCCAAGAGCGTAGTCGATAAGAAGGAAAATATTCTAAAAGCATAAATGCAATAACTAATTTATTTTAACATTAGATTAATGAAACTACGCCTTTTAATGATTTTGAGAAAGCTGTGGACTTTGCTCAAAGATTTTGCAAACTGATAGCAAGAAGGAGTGAGATATCTACAACTGTTTGCACGATTATCATCAAATCACTAAACCGAGCTCCGAATAAGGTAACTGTGTTTTAAAATGAACAAACTGCAGTTCAATTTAAAAACTGTATATTTATTTCAAATGGCAGACTTTATGATATTTATCATTAGCCCTTAAACTTTGACTTCAGCTTCTCCCAAGTGTGGGGGGTACATTTATAGGAGTTAATTAATAGCAATTCATTACTCCCAAGTGTGGGGGGTACATTTATAGGAGTTAATTAATAGCAATTCATTAGCTGTCTCCTTGCTTCCCAGTATCTCTGTCTTTCCGTCGTTGCCTTTAGGCCTGGACATTGAATTACGTGGGTCTTCTCCATTTCCTCCTGTAGGTTACATAGAGGGCATGTTGGTTGAGTGTTGATTTTATCCCTCCGGTAATTAGTCATAATGCTTGGTCGTATGCCTTCTCGGGTGGTTCGAGAGTCACCTCTGTGACTGTAATGATTTTTTCACAACAATATAACATTATTGGCTGAATAAACATTTTTAAGTGGTGTTGAATGTTGAACGTGCCCAGCCCCACACGCTTCCAGAAAGTGGCTTCAGTATATTCAGTCTATTGTGACTTTTCCACGTTAGCTTTGTGTCAAACGTCATTCCAACGTGACTTTTCCACGTTAGCTTTGTGTCAAACGTCATTCCGGTTACTTTTCCACGTTAGCTTTGTGTCAAACGTCATTCCGAGATTGTGAACTCATTGGTTTTTTATAGGGTAATATCCTTGTACCGGTGAATTCATTAGTTTTTTCCAGGGTTATATCCTTGTACTTTAGAAGCGGGTTTATGCTGTGATGTGCCAAAGAAAAAGTGGGTGCAGTTTTTGCAGTGTTGATTACCATTCCATTGTTACGCGCCAGTTTGCTAGTAGTTTAAGTGCATAATTNGTTGAATGTTGAACGTGCCCAGCCCCACACGCTTCCAGAAAGTGGCTTCAGTATATTCAGTCTATTGTGACTTTTCCACGTTAGCTTTGTGTCAAACGTCATTCCAAGATAGGTGAATTCATTAGTTTTTTCCAGGGTTATATCCTTGTACTTTAGAAGCGGGTTTATGCTGTGATGTGCCAAAGAAAAAGTTTGGAATGCCGTTTTCGCGGTGTTAATTACCATTCCATTATTGTCGCACCAGTTTGCTAATAGTTAATATGCACATTCAAGAGCACATTCTATCCTTTCCTGAGAGTTTTTCTTACGGGCGGAATACCACAGAACAAGATCATTCGCATAAAGGAAGCACTTGATTCCCGTAACCGAAGACATTGAAAAGGGTCCAGCTTGTAACAGCCCCCCTGTGGAAGGCCTGTTTGTTTTGCTTGTGGGAATAGAATCTTGTAAAGCCGTTAGCTATTTCGGTGTCTGTAGTAAGCAATTTGCTGTTTAAGCGTATTGGTTCTTTCCTGGGTCTTTCTCTGTTGTTTTGGAGGTTTCGCAGAAATTTGAAAGTGCGTTGGCTATCACTTTGATAGTTGATATTTGAGATGAACTTCCCAAAAAAAGTGCGTTGGCTATCACTTTGATAGTTGGTACTTGAGATACTCTGTTGTTTTGCAGATTTCTCAGAAATTTGAAAGTGCGCCATTGTTGTTTTGGAGGTTACCCAGGAATTTGAAAGTGCGTTTAGTCGAAGGAAGTCCGTTTAGTGTTTGCCTTAGGACAGCTGATTGTCGTCTCCAGGCTTGTACCCCTTAGGACAGCTGATTGTCGTCTCCAGGCTTGTACGTCTGCGTTCTTCCAGTCTGATAGGTGTTGCGAAGGGCGTCCCGCTTTCTTTTCAGTTCCTCCTTTCTTTTCAGTTCCTCAAGGTGTTTAGATCAAAACACACATTTCAGTTCCTCAAGGTGTTTAGATCAAAACACTCGATAGGCTTCCTCAAGGTGCCTAGACCAAAACACTCGATAGTGTTTATATTTGCCTCGGGGAATAGTTTTCTTTGCACATCTGATCATACTCGTGATAGCAGTGCAAAGTTGGTCAGGATGTTGGCTGAAGTTAAGGGGAATAGTTTTCTTTGCACATCTGATCATAATATTCGGGTACACAGTTTATCAGGATGTTGGTTGAAGTTGAGGGGACTTGGTAGGAATGTTGGTTGAAGATGAGGGGACTTGAATAAATTTCATCCCTTGAAGTTGAGGAAACTTGTGTTAAAATTATTGTCAAAAACTTTAGTGAATCTAGACCAGTCAGCCATCTTGAAGTTCCATGATAGNTGATTATTTCACATTTGTCATGTGTCGAGCTCATACTCTTGATTAGATCGTAGTGGCCTTGCGTCGAGCCCATACTCTTGATTAGATCGGAATGTGAGGCCTTCTTTTACCAGTTAGAATTCCACTTGCAACTTGCCGGTATTTAGGTAGGTGATTAGGTTGTAGTGTGAGGTGAGGCCTTCTTTCACTCCGGTGATCAGGTCGTAGTGTGAGGTGAGGCCTTCTTTTACTCCAGTTTAGAATTCCACTTGCAACTTGCCGGTATTTAGGTAGATTTGTACAGGGTGTAACCTGGGAATTGGTAGTACTTCAGTTTGGCATCCGAAATGTTAGCTTCCATAATTGTGAAAATGGCAAAATCCATAAGGTTTGTAGGATTTTCTGTATTTGGATCTTTTTGTCCGTTACATTCCTCCAGCATTCCACTGGAGGATCTGAAGACATTGGATTTCTCCAGCATTCCACTGGAGGATCTGAAGACGTTGTGTTTCGCCCTGACGAGGGCAATTTTTCTTATAGCCATTTTTCAATCTTTTCATCATAAAACGAATTAAAAATCGAATGCCGAGTGATAGACTTGTTTGTCGTACGAAGATACGTTGTCCAGGGTGCACCACGTGGAGGTACGTCTATCGCGCACCCCAAGAGTTGAATATTGATTAACGTAAATTGTGACCTCATTATCCATCAACTTTTACACAGTGAAGAGAACACATGAGTTTGCCTAGTTGAAGTAAGGTGAGTAGTGAACTTTATTCATGTTAACTATAGCAACAAGAACAATGATAATGAGAAGAATAATATGAAGAAAATTAATGGGACCAATGAGGGGCAGAAGCCTTCCGAATAATCCACTATTTACAATTATTTCGAAGTGTCTCTCTCATTTGCGGTAACATGCGAAGTTCAAAAGAAGTGGTGGGGGGAGGGGGTGGAGGGGAGGGGAAATAAGTCCACACAGTTGAAAAGTGGATGAAAAGGAGTTCATTATCTTTCTCGGTGCATTTCTTGATGAACATATAAAAGCCCCAATGAACGCATATGTTCCCCAACTTCAGATGAAGCGATAAGAAACTAATTGCCATGGAAGATCTCTTCGGCCTCGTCGCTGTCGTCGGCGTCGTCAATGTAAGGACATTGTATTGAAGCAACATCAGTGTTTCTAGTTTTTCCTAAAATGTTATGCTATTTAAAAGTGAGCGTCTCACTAAACCTCTTACACAACTGCATCACCCCATTTCGTGTTGTATATTGATTGAGTCAAATAGTGAACGGTCAAGTGGACAGGTCACAGAAATTATTTTTGCATCCACCTAGCATTCCGATTGCGAATTTGATTTCTTCCAGATATATAGTGCTATGATTTGTAGCCACCATGACCCTGAACAATATGTCAAACGTGATGCCAGGTTTCCTTTCACTTAAACAAGCATAATCGAGACACAATGACAACTATTCGTTTGAGCATTCAATTATCACAACAAACCGTCATTGAAGCAGTTGTTATAACTAAATTTTCCCCTTAATTACTTTTATCATCATTATTATTCATCCTCAAATTATTTTCTTCCAAATGCAGATGTTCTCCTGTGAATCCAGTGATGTTTCTAATAGACTCAACTAGTTCATACTACAAAGTTAGGCTCCTGTAGACATGTATTTCCTTTTTCTACGAGTCAGTTACATAATTTTTTACAATGCTCATTTGCTAAGTTATACTAACACAACATGAGCAGTAAACACCTAACCCTTCTTATAGGTAAAAGTAAGCGCAATTTATACATCATCTCGTAAACCCCAATAACTTGTTCAGCCAATTAAAATAGACTCAAGCACAGTTATGTGCAAGGAATTAATGATTTTCGCTCAATTCGTTAAATGCTGAGTCGCCATACAGAACATATTACCCTCAATTAAAGAGTAAATATAGAAAAACCGAAGCATTAAAAATAGCAAAACAGGCAGCCTATTCATTAGGTTACCCAAGTAAGGTCACTATGTTTTGCGTTCATTCTTTAATAAGTTGAGCTGGGCCAATTTCCAGAATTCAAAAATAATACCATGCCGCACAACAAATTTTTCGAAGTCATGATGTAAATGGTATTGCGCTGATTAATAATCAAATCAATTAGAATTGACGTTTGCTTTACATCACTTAGATCAACACCTGCACCGAATATACTATTAATCACAGATTTATTTATTTATTTATTAAATTATTAAATATTTTGGTGCCGAGTGATTGTCACATGTACAGAGGCAAATGACCACAAAATAATAACTGTTTTAATGAAAAATTGTTCAAAAATTAAAAAAGATAAATATGTTCTCTTTTTAGTTCATTAACAATGGAACAGTTTCAAATATTGTTACAAAAATTGTTTAAATTAACGGAAGTGAGAAATTTCGAAATTGCACAGACACGATTTTCTGGCTGTGTTATCTCTTAAGGTAAGTTGAAGAAGTATTATGCGCACTTTTCTACACTCGATCACAAACTCAATTTGGTTTCATCTAAAAATGTGTTGCTCTTGTTTCAATATGCCCCGAATGTCTGTCTTTTCCTTCTTCTCTACTTCAATTTATCTTACGTTGTTGATGATCTGTGATATACGCTAGTGCTGCTAACAATTGAAGACTCCAGATGGCACCGAACAAGAGTGATAAGAGCAAAAAGGTAATTAACAAGTCTCTTTGCATTTTATTTGCAATACACCTTCAAGTGTTTATTGGTAGATAGTGCATGCATATGTGTATGTTGGCCAATTGTGTGAAAGGTGGGAAGATGGAAAGTGAGATGACAAGAAATCAGCACCATGAAGAGTTCCTTTAATTCACTTGTGAGATAGCATTTGGCGTCCACATACATTATTTATTATTCCTCATGAAAATGTTGCGGTTGCGTTACCAAAGATGAACCCTTCCTGTGGGAGGGTCAGCATTTAGATTACAACTCGGGTACCAAAATGTGTCTAGAAATTGCTAATGACTGCCATTACTAATGAGGCGCACGCCATCCAGCAGTATTGAGAATTCTCAATTGATCCATGTGAGGAGAAATGGTGAGAAGTAGTGAAGGGTAAACGTGTTGTTCACTAGCTCCATTTCACTTTCCAACATGTACTTATGCCGGGAGCAACAATTTCTAATGATGATTTCCTCTTTAGAGTGAGGCCGTGGAAAAAGACCTTGGCGACAGCCTTCTTGCGGAGTGGCCAATCATGTCGCTTGCATATAGTCAAGATATGAAGAGGAGTCTTCCACAATTGCACAGTAGCCTGCATCTCTACGAGTTGGCTGATGTGTTTGAGGACTTTGTCAGAAGCATTCAGCCTTCTGACAGAACCATCGCAATAAGGGTAAGTTGAGTGGCTCATTTGTATCACCACGCTCTTAATGATTTCATATTCACACACAAGTTGTAACTGAAACTGTAATCGATTTGGTTCTTATAATACCTATTTGTTCCCGTTGGTGGTGCTTTCACTGCTACTGGAGAACATATGGTAGAACTCTTAGATAAGGCCACGCATAGATTTCAATCAAAAATGGCAGGCAGGCACCATGCCAGCCATTTAGTGAGTCATGAGAGGGTGCAGCGAAGTTCTAAGTGTAAGGCTAGAGCAGTTGTCGCCGCCGCAAATTCCCCAGCACCTAAGTGAATGCCTGAAATGTAGCCGAATCAGCGTTGTCTCCCACTTCCTATCTCCTCTTCACGTCTTCCATTATAGAAGGCGAATATCACCGATTTGAGGCGATTTCTTCAAGAGGAGTATCCGGGATCCAAATTGGAGTTGATTGGCTACTCGGCTATGGCTTCGCAACAGAATCCAGTGATTTGGATCTCACAATGGTGTTTGCCGAAGGTAGCCGAGAGGCAGACACTTGGAGGAGTGAAGCAAAAGATGATCAAATTAAGGCAAGTTCACTCCACCAATTCTTCTCCTCAGCACGCGTAAACCCACCATCCACCCACTCACTCGCTCATTTGCCATTTTCCCTCTGAAGGTGCACACGAAAATCTCCTCAAAGATGATAAACAATAAAAAGAATTCGAATATTAATGACATTAAAGTGGTTTCTTATGCGAGGGTGAGAATCGTGAAGTTCAAATCCAATAAGCACCAATTCGCAGTCGACTTGGGCTTTCCCAATCATTTGGTGAGTTGAATGATGTAATTCGGAGTGACAAGTGTCATTTGTGTACTCAGTAGCCTCATCTCTCCTTGCCTTAATTTACCTTAACTCACCTCACCTATTCCCATTCTTCCAAGGCACTTTGAAATACCGCTTTACTCAATGAGTATACCAAGTGCGAGTCACTGCTAGTGAGTCTGGTTGTGATTCTGAAGAAAGTCATCAAGGTAGGAGGTGTCATTTTTTTGTGCATGCGAGTCGTGTGTAATGGACTCTGAGGCGGGAGAATGAAAAACACGCATTTTCTCTTCCAGGAAAGTGGGGTGCGGGATAGATTTACCTCCACGGGTGCACCCTGGAGAACGTATCTTCGTACAACAAACAAGTATATCACTCGGCATTCGTTTTTGACTTCGATTTATTATGATTAACTTTAAAAAAGGCTATAAGAAAAATCGCCCTCGTCAGGGCGAATCACAACGTCTTCAGATCCTCCATTGGAATGCTGGAGAAATGTCTCCGCACAAAAAGATCCTAGTACAGAAAATCCTACAAACATATGATGTAGACATTTTCACAATTATGGAAGCTAACATTTCGGATGACAAACTGAAGTACTACCAATTCCCAGGTTACACCCTGTACAATCTACCTAAATACCGGCAAGTTGCAAGTGGAATTCTAACTGG